GACCCACCAGACAGATGCCAGAGCCCAGCCTCCCGCCGCCTGGTCCCCGCCCCCCCCTCCTCAAATGTCAGGAGGGTTAGTTGGTTGTTTGCTTTAATGCAGTGGTTCTCAACCTGCTGGCCCTTTAAATACAGCTCCTCATGCTGTGACCCAACCATAACATTGTTTTCGTTGCTACTACCTAACTGTAATGTTGCTACTGTGATGAATCGTCATGTAAATATCTGATCTGCAGGATGGTCTTAGGCGACCCCTGTGAAAGGGTCGTTCGACCGCCAAAGGGGTCGCAACCCACAGGTTGAGAACCACTGATTTAGCCCAACAGCGGACCTCCTAGTGAGTGGTCCTTGCAGTTACTAAAAGTGCTCCTTTAAGTAACAGCCCACAGCTGACCTTCAGTTTAGAATTGGAGTCATGAGGCCAGTGTGGAGAAGAGCATGGTTTGCTGAATGGAAACTCAAGTTCCAGTCACAGAATAGGTAATGGGAGGGGGGGCTGGCCCGCAGGCGGCTGGCAAGGACTCGGGGCCTGGCTGAGTGGCCCCCTGGTGCCTGGGGGTGGGGGGCAGGAACCTGGGGGCTGGGCAATGTTGGGCGAAGTCCGGGTTAGCAGGAGCAGGGAGCCCAGCGCGGTCAGCAGGAGGCTGCACATGGGGCGGCCTGGGCCGGGCGTCTGGTCTGTTTGGATGCTCGCAAGGAACGTGTCTGAGCCTGAGATCGGGTGCTCGCCAAGGGCCTGCCACTCGGGGAGGTGGGCACAGGGAGGACCAGAGGGGAAGATGTGCCCAGTACAGCCTCTCGGAGAAGCAGGGGCCACAGCATTCCTTCTCGGCCGCGTGGGCCTTGCTCCCCGGCCCCTGCCCAGCCAGCCAGTGCCTGCAGCTGGGGTCCCGGGCCGGCCGGGCCAGGTGGGCACTGGGTGCTGTGGGTGGGAGGTGAAGAGAGAAGGGTACCCCCACCCCACAGTCTCCCCTGTGCCCTCCGGGGATGGGGCGCTCACTGCAGAGAGGGGGTGCAGAGAAAGGGCCCTCCTGGCTGGAGGCCAACCTGAGGAACAAGGTCCCCCTTCCCCACCCCAAGTTCCCGTCCCCCCTGCGCAGTGTGGCCCGGGCAGCAGGAAGGCCTGGCTGTGGGGCTGGCCCCGGGACGGCTATGAGCGGAGCCAACCAGGATCAAGGGCATGGCAGTGGCAGGGGAGGGCCGGGGGGACCCTTCTCTGGAAAGCCAGGTGGTGTGGGGGGACCCTTTCCCTGACGGGGCGGGGGACCCCGACTCTCCCAGACTCATGCAGGTGAGGACGCCAGCCCAGCCGAGAGATAACAGTTTATTGTAGACTCGGCCTCCACTCAGGCCCAGCGTTCCAGCGGCCGGCTGGCCAGGGAAGGGCACGTCAGGGTCCCACAGTGCCTGCTGCCACCGTGCTGGGGGCCACGACGGGACTACGTGGGCTAAAGAGGGGCTGCCCAGCACGGTCCCGCTGCGGGCACAGTGGGGCAATGGACATGGTGATGGTACCCACCAAGTGGTCCTACTCTACCTGTGTTATTGCATTTATACGCTTGTTCGACTCAAAGGACGCTGGGTAAGGCAGGCGGGGCCCTCTCCAGGGGCACCTTTGGGGGCAGACACAGCTGGGGGCAGGTCCTTGATAACCCCTCCCTTCCTGTCCCCAGCTGCCCTCGCTCTGCGGGACAATTGCCACGGGATGGGGAGAGGGCTCAGGGCAGGAAGTGAGGTGGCCCCTCTGGACGGGCCTTGCGCCGTTTCCCCAGCTCGGGCGTGGGCAGCAGGAAGCCTCGGGTGGCTCAGCCCCTGGAGTGGCTCAGCCCGCCAGACCCCCACCCGCCGGCTGCAAGCAAAGAGCAGAAGAGGGGAAGGTGAAACAGCCACACCTTTAATGTCCCCACGTGGCCGGGCCCAGGTCAGAGCCCAGCCTGGAACCGTCTGCCTCAGGGCTCCCTCCTGCCTGGGGCTCGTCAGGAAGCGGCCAGAAGCCCCTGGACCACTGGGGCCCCTCGGGACAAGCTGGCCGGCTCAGGGTCCACCCCACCCACTGCCCCAGTGCCCTGGCCTGAGCCCTCTGCCCGAGGCCACAGCTCCACCCTGCGCTGCTCAGGACCCAGGAGCCGGGTCCCTGCCTGGGGGAGAGGGAGGGGGACACGATAGGGACCAGCTAAGGGGGCGTGGCCCCACTGCCCCCAACAGCCTGTCTCTCTCCCTCGGTGTCTGGAGCGCTTGTGTCTCTATTGCCTATGGATTATGGGTAGACAGCTATGAGGATTCGCATGCATGTCCCACGGTCTGTACAGGGGTGGTTGGTCCCCAACCTGGGCAGCAGCCGTCATTTCTTCCGGGCCAGGAAGACCACGCCAAGAATCAGGGC